GTGAGATGACAGAGCCGCGTCTGTGGAGCTGAGCAGCCTGTGATAGGAACAAAGTCAGGGCCTGGGGGCTTGTGAGGCATCCAGTCAGATGCTGCCTTCACAAACGCTGTTCCTTCGGCTGTACAGGACACTGTGGTGCTGACCTTCTATGTCACAAAGCTTTGAACAGATGGGCACTTGTTTCTCTGGGTGACCTTTTATGTAAACCTCAGGAGTGAGTCCCAGGCAAATAGGAGGGGTCTTCAAAAATCCCACAGAACACGAGAAAACGGCCATGGCTTTCAAAAAAAAAAAAAAGTTTTTTTGCACCAAAATAAACTTGTACTTTAATCTCATGTTTCCATGAGCTTTATGAAGTCCCTTTATTTCAGAGGGCTTAAGGATATTTGATAGAATCTTACAGTAGGCCTCTCTGTGTTGGGCGTTCCTTCTTTTACTCAATGCTTCAGGCTTTAGACAGGGGGTAAAGTAACAACAAATTCCTCTCTTCCTTTTTTTTTTTTTTAAAGAATTATTTATTTAATTTTATTTATTCATTTAACTATTGTAATTTGACCAGAGAGAGACACAGTGAGAGAGAGAGAGAAAGTGAGAAGGCAAGCCACCAGATCCGGGACTCGAACTGTAGTCGGCCATGTGGGAGTGTCTAGTGCCTTCACCACCACGCCACCTACTTGTCCCATTACTTCCTTTTTTTTAAACAGTATTTAACTACTACTCTGATAATGCTTTCTAGTTTATGGTGGAGTTGCATCATATGCACTATTAATTTATGCAAATACAACTCTATGTCAAGACAGACAGATAGGACCAGATGGTGACACAGTGGTAAAAACTGCAATGCTCCGTGAGACCGACCCACACGGGAAGGTTCCCAGTTCAGGCCTGGGGACCCCATGTAAGCTGGCAGCACGTGTGTACCTGCGATCTAGGGCTGCCTGACACAGAGGTAGACTGTGGTGTTAAGACCATTTTGGGGGCACTGTCTCGGTCTCTCTCTCTCTCTTTCTCTCTCTCTGTGTCAAGAAATAAATGAAAACGTTAAAAAGAAAGAGACCCAGCCCTCATGGCATGGTGGTTGATGGAGCCAGACCCACATGGCCAGCCACACAGTTCAAGTCCTTGCGTTGGCATGTGAAAACCATGCCAGGCCCGTGTGTCCAAGTTCCTGACAGAATAGAGAAATGGAGGAGGCGGGGAATGGTGTAACAATACCAGCAACATAACCATTATGCCATCTGCTGGTCCCTGTTTTGTTATATTTCCTAAGGTTATATTATATACATTGAATATCCTTTTTCTAAAAACCACTTGGGACCAGAATCTTTCTGGATTTCAGATTTTTTTTTTCAGATTTGGAAATATTTGCATATGCATAAGGGAGATATCACGGGGCTGGAACCCAAGTCTAAACTTGAAATTCGTTTATATATATCTTATACACGCAGCCTGAAGTTAACTTTATACAATGTTTTGCACACTATTTTAAATAATTTTGTTTATGAAACCATTTGCGAGTGCAGCTATATGGGCATGAAAGAAGAAGATACATATTGCAACTGGAGGGGGTTGGGAAAGGGTCTTTTTTCCACTGGGAATGCTGAATAAACTTGTACACATGCATTTTTTACTGCAACCCATGGAGGTAAGATGTGGAATTTTCCACTTGTGATATCATGTCATCATTTAAAAAGTTTCAGATTGGGGACCAGCAGGTTGCATAGCGGTTAAGTCGCTGGATTCCCGCTTGGCAGTCTGTGGTTCAAGTCCCAGACCTGGTAGCTTGCTTTCTCACTTTTTCTCTCTCTTTTTCTCTCTCTCCGTTCAAATTTGAAAATAATACTACTAATAAATAAAATTAAATAATAAAATAATTGGGACCAGCAGATGGTGTAATGGTTATGTCACTGGACTCCTACATAGTCAACTGTGGCTCGAGTCCTAGACTCAGTGGCTTAACCCATGCTGGATGCATGTACATGCGTGCCCAAGATCCCAAAAGAATGAAGAAGAAGGGATTGCAGCATGGCCATCTCCCCACGCTGGGGGTGATTTCTCGCTTTTCTTTCTCTATCTTTCCAGTGAGTGCACATGCCCTATAGAGCCAAAAAAAAAAAAAAAAGAAAAACCAAAACCAAACAAAAAAACCCACTCCAAAAATAATAAAAAGAAAGAAAATGGTTCAGATTTTGTAGCATTCTGGATATCAGATTTTGAGATTAGGGATGCTTATATTCTATACAAGATAGGAAGATAGGCATTTGAAATTTTTCCTTCCTTACGTTTTTCTCCTCCGTAGATTTCTATTTTTAAATTTATATCATATGCAAAACTTTCTTTGAGCCCACTTCCAGAAGTGATCAGGAGTTTGGTTTCCTGGATCACTCCCCTCTCTCTGCCTGTAATTTATTGTCCAACTTGGTAGTCCAAAACCCTTTGTAAATCTTCTGCCTAAACCTTGTGTGGCTGACATTTTTATAAGCTTGCTTTCTGTTACTGTCATAATCCACTCATCTCTGTTAATGCCTCCCTGTGCTTGCCAAATGCCAGGGCTTCTGTGTTGATATTTGCACCTGTGGTGTAACACTGGCAAGTGGCTTCACGTCCGCGAGGTCTCAGAATAGTCTTCCCTCTCATCCCTACCCCTAAAAAGGAAGGTTGTCCGGGAATTGGTTGGCTTAAGATTACAGTGTCACTTCTTTTACCTTTATGTGGATTTGATTCATTTACACACGTGCAAGAGGACTCAAGAAAGGCTTCTGGGTCATCTGGTTGTGAGAGAAGTGATAGTTTAAGATAAATTATTGACAGGATACTCATCACTGTGCTGTCATACCGAGATGAAGGACCGATGTCATTACCATTCTGTATTATATGACTCTAGCTGATGTAGAACACAAGTCCTGACCCACCGTCACGTGTGGGCTAACAACCGCGGAAGAGAAACCAACAGCAGTTTCAGTAAATGGAATTATTTTGTACCATAATTGTGAATACTAACCATTTCTATTTCTTTTTTTTTTTTTAAAGAATTATTCATTTAATTTTATCATTATCATTATTATTTTAAAAATTTGCTTCAGGGCACACATGCTTACCAGAGACAGAGAGAGAGGAAAAGTGAGAAAGCAAGTTGCCAGGTCGGGACTCAAACCGCCTTTGGTCACTGGGAGCGCAGTGTCTTAGCCACCACGCCACCTGCTGACCCCCTTAACTATTTCTTAATTGTAACTTGGAGCACCTCCTTTTCCCAGTAATGAGTGTGTGATTTTTGTATTTTCTACCAAGGCCCCAGGGTTGCTCTGTGTTTTCACAAAGGACAGTTGTTAGGGAGGCCTCGACCTTCCTTGAGCTAACAAGCATTTATCCTTTATTAATTTGACTGATACTTATAGTTACGCCCTTCCAGCTCGCTCTCCAAGGTAACTGAGAGCAGCAGGTTTGGTAAGTCAGTAGCCATTGCGGCTGTGACCTGTCTCATTAGAGGCAGAGAAAGAAAGAAGCCACTAGTGAGCTGTATTTTTTTTTTTTTTTTTGGAGGAGTTTTCTCTAT